ATATATATTTATTTATAAATTTGTTTATATATATATATATAATTATATATATATATATTTGTTTATGTATAGATAACAAATCATACTGCATCCAAAGTTTCTGAATTTTACCATTTATCTGAAACATATATGTGGAAATAACATGCAATGCACGCCCATGCAGACATCCATCGAAGTACTTCCACCTGAAGAACACGCTGATCTCCTATCGTCGCTTCTGAGTCCAAATCCAATGAGAAAGGGGTCTCCGAGAAACGATGTGAATTTTGGAGAGGTAAGGCCCGTTGAGTAATTCTGTGTGTTCTATTTCTGCTGTGTGTCTTATGTCTGCCTCTGAGCAGTGTGGTTAAACAGTACATGTTTGTAAGCAATGGAATGACCACAGAGGCTGAGGGTTTTATTCGTTCCATCGCCTCCTGTTCTATTTAAATAGGAGGCTAAGTTTGTTCTTTTATTTTATATTTTGAAGCGTAGGGTTTTAGCCTTTCTGTACATCTTGTGGTGAGTTTGTTTGTGAACGTGACGTCATGCTCTTGACGTTGCACTCGAGTTCATATACCACGACGTCATACATCTTGTACGTATACGACGTCATACGTCCTGGACGTATCTGACGTTTTGTGCACCTTCACTCCCACACAGGCGCTATTCAAACCGGTAACCACGCATGAAAAGCGGGAGCAGCAGCACGAAGGCTTCCTCAACATGCTGGCAAACCCCACCTCAACAACCAATGCACAAGTTTAACTATGTTACATCGCACACTAGAGCGAAATCAGAGACGCCACAGCTGGGCGTGTGAGAGATATTTAAGGATAACAGTGTGTGCAGGAGATACGTGACTATCGTTGTGCGTGCGTATGCGCCAGGTATGCACGGGTACAGAGCCGTAGAGAAGGGGGGGAAGGGCTCAGAGGTTTGTAACTGTGTGTTACCTTTGTAACTCCGATGATTGTGACTGGTGCCATGAGCCGTTCCTAAAGGTTGGTGCGGTGAACTCGCCATAGGTCCCAGGTGCGGAAACCCAAATTAGTAGTAAATGACAGTATTAAAGACTCGATCAATTGCACCAACAAATGCCTGGACTCAACTGCTACCAATTAAGGGTGTCTGTGGAGTATAGACTACTCAACGAAGTATACAAAGATCCAAGGCAAGCCCAGGATGTTGGGTTTCTAAACCCAGTGTTTGTCCCTACTCTGGAAGAAGGTTCAAACTACCATTAAGTATATGAAACTCATCGTCATTAATACGTACCCGGAGTACACTGATCTTTGTACAGATACGAAATAGGTAGTTTGGCACTAAGCAACATGTGCGTTCACCGAGAATAGCGAAGGGAACATGGAGAGTCAAGATACGATTGCTTGCTAGCTGTTTTATTCATTGGAGATAAGGATTCCATATTTTCTTTAAAAAGTTGCTGCCGAATAGTCAGCTTATATGCGTTGGTATATAGCATCCCACCCATGCTCAACAACCCGATTCTCTGCACATAAACATGATATACAACCGACCCGCAGTATGTCTTATCAAATCTTGGTGAAGCTCATAAGGAGAATTCAAAAGGTATTGACATTGAATATACAATTTAAGGTAGAAGCATTCGCGGACAGATTAGACAATGAAGAATCATTATATTAGTCCATACCCAGTTTATACGTGATCAATTCACACACACACACACACATATATATTTATTTT